GCATACACAATAGTGGAGTATGACAAATGTGCCATTTTAAATCAATGAGGAAAGAACTCTGTATTTTGAGTGGAAATGTTAGGGGGTCGTCTTATACGCCCAGTCGTCTTATACGCCGGCAAATATGGTAAGTAAAAGTAGTTTATGGCAGGTAGTCATGACCTGGGCTAGAATCTTTCCTGACAAAAGTCAATCTTTACCATAACTGAGACTGTCTATTGTCTTTTGCATCTATCATAACATATCTTTATATATATATAAATTAGGCCAAGACACCATAATGAGTCATGACCGTACATGAGGAGGTTGTGAGCACAGGTGAGGCCTGGAGTGGAGAGGGAGACAGAGACACGGGGGCTGGCGAGCCGCTGTGCTGGACTTGGGCCAGCCCCCTGGAGCCAGAGTGGACACAGACAAGGACAGCGGGGCTGGCCCGCAGCCTCCACGACAGAGCACAAGCCCGGAGAGGAGACAGAGGCCCGCATCCCCGGAAGCAGCGCGGCTCCCTCTGGCCTCCCGCAGTATTGGCGCGGGTCCCTCTTGGCTCCTGCGAGCGCCAGAGGCTTGCTTCAGGCTCCCCTGGAAGCAGTGCAGCTCCCGAAGGTGCACTTTGGTTCCCCCAGGCTCCTGCAGAAGCAGCAGGTGGCCTACTGCACACGATATCGCAGGATGGGCTACTAGCATCAGAATAACTTCCCCTGACGGTACATCAGGATTCGAATCTGCCAATCACATTTCCTTGTGTTGAACCACCCTTAGAAAGTTTTTACTTCCAAAGCATATCTGTTACAGAAAAACTGGACCAGAACCATACAACACTCTGAGAGTTTTGAGTTACACTTTTATTCACCGTGGCGGGCTCAGGGAAATGAATCCAAATCTAAGCAAAGCTACGAGCAGAACTTCCCTTTTTATAGAAGAGCCAACCCTTTGTGTGCTTGCTGGCGGCGGCCTTGAAAACTATACAGTTCTATCCAATTAAAAAATGCACCTGGCATGGCATTGGATGTATCTAGTCTCTGGCCTACAAGGTCAGAGAGCTAAGTTTATCTCCCCCACTATTCAAGCAGGCTGGAAAGCAAAGTTACTTTTTCAGAATAAGAGGCCATCTAAAGAATAGAGAATTCCAAACAGTAGTTTTACAGAATAGGGGTTTTCCTTCACATATCCACATCTACACATTTACCTGATGGAGGCTGTGGATGGGGGTGGGGGTGGGGGAGCTTCTTCTGGCTACTACCCGCCTTGGACAAGCTCAGCCCCATCTTGGGCACCACCTCAGCCTGGGCAATAGCCCACTTGCCCTGGCTGTTGCCTAGGTACCTGGAGCAGAGAACCCCTCCCCGTGTGTCCAGCACATGGGCTCCTACCATGTGGGGCACAGAGCTGGAGCTGGAGGCTGCATGAAGGGTCTGTCCCTACTGTCCCCTCCGATGGGAGTGCAGGCAAGGAAGAAGGGAGAGCTGAGGGGGAGGTGCTGGGGCCAGGCAGGAGGGGCAGGCCTGCGGAAATGGGTGCAGGGAGAAGGCCCATTGGAATTGCTGAGGCCCCTCTGGATCGCCTTCACCTTTTCTTCCCTCTGGCTGTGTGACCAGAACTGACAATGGGTGGAGCACAGTCAGTCAAGGGAGCTATGTTCCAAGGAGCATGGAAGAGACTGAGCCCATGAAGGGGCTGCTATGGGGAGCCCAGTGAGGTTGGGATAGGATGGGGTGTGGGGGGGTACTATAGGTAGCCCAGGCACCTCTGTACTGTGGCATGTATCTCATCAGGGCCTCCCTCCGAGTCTCCCTTTCCAGCTTGGAGAGGAAGGCAGGGGAGCCCCCAAAGGTGTCCCCTTCCTGCCCCTTTGATGCCAAAAAATCCCGAGGGTATTGTGGGGCATGGGGGGAGGGAGGAGGGGGAGGAACTTATGCAACCCAAGCAGGCCAGGGCAGCAGTTAATCCACTCCATCCACAAACAGCCCTGCCTCTGACTTAAAACCCTAAGCCAAAGTGCTATAGATTTTAGGAAAAAACTCAGTACTAATCAGAATATCCTATTTACATTTGGCTCTTTCTCCTCAAGCCCCTCTACAAGAGGCAAAAGATTGAATATTTTCATGAGAGTTTATTTAAATCTTTGGTAGATAATTTTAATGGAAGGCTACACACAATCAGTAGTTGAAGCAAATTTTTATTATTTTTTTTTAGAGAAAGGGAGGAACCCATTTATTAACACTAGTGACTAGTGGACTCCGGGAAATAATTTCCAAATCAGAGTGAAGTAACATACAGAGGCTTTGCTTTTTATAACCTTCTGGGGTCTTTGTCTTGCAGATATGGTTCCGCCCCCTTGTGGGCTTACAGGATGGCCCCCAGGAGTTGGGGGTTCCCAGGTCTTATCAGATGATCTTCCTGGGGCCAGTGATAACTGTTGTGCCCAGATTTCAAGATTCGCAAGGGCCCACCAGGGAGCCAGCGAGTCGTAGGCAAAAGCAAAGAGTCATTTATTTCAAACCTAGGTTTGGCTCCCCTGCCCCCCATTACTGGCACAGCAGCAGGTGGCAGAGAGAGGGAAAACTCTGTGTGGAGAGATGTTTTATAGGGGGTTGGGGTAAGGGGAGGAGAAAGGACTGTGGACCCTGCCGATTGGCCAGGCGCGAGTCGGTGTCTCATTACACAGGATGTGGTCATAGTGATGGCGTGCACTTCCCTTGATTATCGTTGGCCAGTCCAGAGAAATTCTGGCGTGGCCAGCAGTGGCTTGGGCTTCTGGGAAGAAGCCTTGCTGAGCACATGGCCAAGGTAAGATGGAGGGTGTAGCCCTTACCCTGGGGCAAGGTGGAGGGCGTAGTCCTCGCCCTTTCAATAACACCTCCCCCCTCCCACCCCCAGGGCAGTGCATTGTTCAGTTTTTATGGCCTGACATGCCTTGCAAGACAGTTTCCTCCTCATTCCCCCACCCCCTTGTCCCACAAGCTTCTTTTAGCCTGATGGAGCAACGAATCCGCAGGGGGCGGTTTCTGGTATCCAGTTATTCAGTCCTGCAACCTTGAGAGCAGTGGGGGTGGTCAGGATGATGGTAGGCAGTCCCCTCCAGGTAGGGTCAGTCCTTGGGTGGTCTTTACCCAAACAGAGTCACCAGGTTAGAAGGCAGAACTTCTGGGATGTGCTCCTGGACAGCCCTCTGGGTAGGCTGCAAAGCCTGCAAGAACTCAAGGTTCCTGGCTCTGAATTCTTTTAGGGGAAAATGTATGTTGAATTTCTTCTGTAGTCGTTTCGTTCTGAGGAGGGACGGAGTTTTCTCTCAGAGCCAAAGGATCCTTGCTGTCTGTCAGAGAGACGATGAGGCCTGGGCAAAGAAGGAGGTGGGCTTGTGACCTTAAAACAAACTGTTTTAAGATTTTCCTTGTCAGTCCTTTTCATGGACTCACAGAGTGATGTAAGTGTCTTAAAGATTCTGTCGACAGGTTCAGAGGTGTCCGTCCACTTTCTCCCGATGCCGGCAGGGTCCTGGGCTGAGGTCCGGAAGCACCTGGAGTTCCCCCAGGTTCAATTCTGCTAAAATCAGCAGCGGGCGCCTTCCAGAGGCCTGTCCCGCACCCCCGGGCCTCAAACCCCGTCCACTCACCGGAGGCTAAACAAAGCCAAAACGCGGTAGATTCCCGGTCAGGGACCATATGTTACAGAAGAGCAAAGAAAAACCAAGCACCCTTCCTAGAGAAAGGGAGGAACCCATTTATTAACACTACTGACTAGTGGACTCAGGGAAATAATTTCCAAATCAGAGTTTGAAGCAAAATCTTAACCAAAATTTCCCTCCTCCTAAGCATCCTAGCAAGAAGTCATGTCTAAAATTTTAAAATTAAAGGTTCTGTCAGGTATTGCCTAAAATGAAAAAACAAAAACAAACAAGCAAAAAGCCTGTACTGTAAGGCAGAAAAATTCTGCTCAGAGAGTTAGTAGTTTAACAAGGGGAGGGCTTGATGATGTATCCGAAAAGATGAGTTTTAAATGAAAGGAAAAAAGAGAGGTGCCCACCACCCCAACACACACTGGAAACAGACCCTGCTCCAGCTTACCCAAAGGCTCCTCGGCCATGCCAACTCCGAGACTCCTGCACTCAGGAAGACACCACCTGTACAGCACAGAACTTTGGCTTTGCTTCTGAAGTGATGCCACCACAATACCTTCATTTTCCCTTTCTTCACGGTCAGAAAGATCCTGAAGCTGTAAGCATTTGGAAGTAAAGCTCCTTCCCAGAGTCTCAATGCAGACTTCAAAATGTTTTGCTATTAGAAATAAAAACTAGCCGAAACCGGTTTGGCTCAGTGGATAGAGCGTCGGCCTGTGGACTGAAAGGTCCCAGGTTCGATTCCGGTCAAGGGCATGTACCTGGGTTGCGGGCACATCCCCAGTGGGAGATGTGCAGGAGGCAGCTGATCGATGTCTCTCTCTCATCGATGTTTCTAACTCTCTATCTCTCTCCCTTCCTCTCTGTAAAAAATCAATAAAATATATTTTTAAAAAAAAGAAAAAAGAAATAAAAACTAAATTCCAACAATCCCAGCTATCAGTTGAGGTGTTCTGCAGCTTCAAAATCAAGTAAGACTTGCAGATGAATTACTAGATGTAAACAACTGTTTTTATAAGTACCATCCAAATACTGGAGAAAATTATGGACACCATCCCCCACGTCTATGGAGTTATTATTAATTCTAGCTGGTGGTCCAATACTCAGATACTTCCACTTACAGGTCTCTCATCTCTCCTCCCCACAACCCAGGTCATTCTTGTCTCTAAAGTCTAGAATTTCATTGTTGAAAGGAGTCTAGTTAGTCCAGTGGTCCGCAAACGCATTAGTCAACAGAGCCAAATATCAACAGTACTTCTTCAGAATAGACTTGCTCAGGCCCAAAACCGACTTCTGTGCATGAGCCACAAAGTTTCAATTGCACTGTACGAGCGCACCCACATGTGGTATTTTGTGAAAGAGACACATTCAAGGGGCCAAAGTGCCGCATGTGGCTCGCGAGCTGCAGTTTGCCAACCATGGAGTTAGTCAAAGAAAATCCTGAAAGTTTACCTTGATGATTCTTTTTGACCAATCATTGAAAACAAAGTAGTAAATTGCCAGTTCTTAGCATTGGGAGCTGTTTATGGCAAGGGACTCATGTTGAACTGCTCTATGTCTGATGCCAAGATGAACCAAAAGACAGAAGAGATAGACCTAAGAATATCACAAATCTGACACCGAGACTTATTTTTAACACACTGGAAATTTATCAATATCAATTTCATAGTGTTTGTGAATATTAAATAGGATACATTTTTAGCAATAAGTTCAAAGTAAACTACAAGAGTGAGGTGGCTCAGGAAGCAGCATAGAGAACAAAAAGAACCAAATGATTAAAGAGGAGAGGAGGGGAGCTTAATGCTGAGTTCTGGGGAGAGACCCACCAGCCCAAAAGGTGGGGCCAGTGAATTCGTGCCCCCAGGGAGGGAGGGGCTTCTTTTTTACACTAGTGCTTGGTGAGGGGTGGGGGGCCTGAGTTGAGGAAGTCTCTGCTGCAGGGATCATCAAAGTATTCAGCTGAGGAAGTCTCCACCACAGCGGGTGGGCAGGGTATTCAGGAAGAAGTCAGTATCTGTTTGAGGGTCCTGCGGATTCCAGGGAGGGTCCAGTATCTGTGTCTGGATGCCATGCCAAGTGCATTTTTTAATTGGATAGAACTGTATAGTTTTCAAGGCCGCCGCCAGCAAGCACACAAAAGGATGGCTCTTCTATAAAAAGGGAAGTTCTGCTTGTAGCTTTGCTTAGATTTGGATTCATTTCTCTGAGCCCGCCGTGGTGAATAAAGTGTAACTCCAAACTCTCAGAGCGTTGTATGGTTCTGGTCCGGTTTTTCTGTAACAATAGTGTTATGGGTTCAATCAGCGAGATAGACCACCATCTCAAAATTGAAATTTAAGAGCCTTTATTAAACTGGCTAGCTGACTACAGTTGTGTCCCTCCCGTAGGAGCCTCACAGCTTGCAGTGCTGACTGAGAGTACAGCAAGACCTTTTATCTGCAAAGACTTCAAAGTAGTTTTTTAAAAAAAGAAACAACAAACTGCAAAGCGATTCATTAGCCGTTCCTGGTACTGGCAGGGTAAAAATGTTTACATAAAATTACTAGCAGGGTCACACCTGGCTGGGTTTAATCATAACACATTGCTTTTCTAGCGAGATAATTAGCAATTTTTCTCTCCCATGGTCCCTGCCCCTCAGCCTACTCAGTAATTCTTCTTTGTCAGGCCCCTGCCCCTAGCACATTCCCTACTGGTCTTATGCCCAAATCAAATCTTTGATTC